CCTCCTAATCTAGCAAAGCGAAACCATCTAAGTAGATTGACTAACTCTGGCAGACACATTTCCCAGCCAGAGTTAGTCGACGATTAGGTTTCACTCTCACCCACTACCAGATTATTCCTAACAGCTAGCTCACCTAGGCTAGCGTTTACGCCGACGAATTTGCCGCTACGCCATCCGTTTAGAGAACTCCTTCAATCAAGCGGAACATCTCATTCCAGCATTAGTAACGTTTACCATCGCGATTCCATGGCGGAATCCTTATGGCGCTCCCTTTCCCCCCTCCCCCCCCGCTTTTTTCCCCCCTGCACGAAAAAAAAGAAAAGAAAAGTTTTTTCGACTGCTCGACCCAAGCGTCCAGGGCTGGACATCAGAGCGTCCAGCGTATATACGCTAGCGTATTGGACGCTGGACGCGTCCATGTCCACATAGGTCTTTCTCTCAATGAAAGGGTGAAGTATGAGCATGCATTCAAACTTAAATAGGACTATCCCTGATATGTCAAATGGTAATTTGCAAGTACTCTGCTCTACTGCCACGATGCATTCATGTGCGATGAGTTGCTTTTTGAGTGCCGAAGCACATGAATGCATTTGAGTCGACTCAAAAACTGTCTCGCAGAGGCCACGATGCATGCATGTGCTTTGGGAGTATCCTTGGTTTTCTAACTGCTGCATCCAGCCTTCCCTTTAATTTCCGAACGCAGGGGTATATCCAACAATCGTCTTTCTGGAGAATTCCCACAAACTCTCAGGGTCGAAAATTCTCTTGACATGCTGTAAGAAGTTGAACCACTGTGTGCTGCCATCACTGTGTGTGTAGCCACCATTGTGTGTGCCTGGTGCAACGCTGTCATTTCATGGTTAACTTACATGCCTAGGAATCTTCGTCTCCTTTTGAATTGTGCAGTGACCTGGGAGGAAATGACTTCACGGGCTCCTTACCGGACTTCTCACGCTGGAACGTCAGCTGTCTAGAGATGTAAATAAGCCTTCTCACAATCTCTCTCTTCCTCCTTTTGCCACTCTAAACAACGTTTGCTCAATCTTGGCCTCAGCATCAGGGTGCAAAATTGCGCCTTTAAATCACAAGATTTTTTTTTTACCCAAACTCTTCGAGAATTTAGGTCAAAAAAAAAAAAAATATATATATATATATATATATAGAATTGTCAAAATTCGATGGGTGCAGATCTTACTTGCATTCCGCTGCCAGATCTAAGCAGATCGGCGCTTTCACCCGCCGATCTGCGCAGATCCTGGGCAAAAATAAATTTCTGTAGCCAACCTGGGGGCGAGTCAGGCGTGACCTAATCCTTTAAGGCCACGTCGGGTCAGGTTTTTGGAAACTCCGACCCAATACCCGCCTGGCCCGCCCAAATCGGGTCAGGTCAGGTCGGGTCAAATGCATTTTTGCATACACTGCATTTCACCCATAGTGAGCTGTTGCGCTCACCCCACTCACGTCAGGCTATCTCTCTGCTGCCTCACCCGTGTTGTGGCTCAGAAATCTCAGCAACAACAACTACAGGGTCGATTCCCGACTCCATCTCCACCCTCACCACCCTCGAGGGCATGTGAGCCTTCTCTTCTCTTCTTGTGCCACAACCGTACCGTCCCCAGCTGCATCCCTGCCTGCCTGCCTACCTGACTGCTATTCACGACTCCATCTCCACCCTCACCACCCTCATTGGCATGTGAGCCTTCTCTTCTTGTGCCACAAGGAGCCGTAATGCCTGCCATGAGAAAAGGTGGGATGTCGTGTAGAAAAGTCACCGTCGAGCCTTTGCAGTGGCGCGCAGCCTATGGCTGGTGAAAGGTAGCAGCGGCAGCGTATGCACACACGCAGCTGAATACGCTTGATTCGCACTTCCAGCCAATGTACCCCGTTGCTATTCCCTGCTCTGCAGTTTTCTCAACAACAACCAGCTGACTGGCACCATTCCTTCAGCCATCTTCACCATGAGGAATCTGACATACATGTAAGCCTCATGCATGTAAGGATCCCCTTTCTATATTCCCATCACTCGTTCCTACCTCTTCCCAATGGTACTTTCCTTTCTTGCACCAGCCTGCACTCCTCTTGCATGCTCTGCTTCTCATCGGAATGTCTCCCTGCCATTGCTATTGCTCTTCAGCTACTTGGCCAACAATCATCTGACTGGCAGCCTGCCAGATGCCATCAGCCAACTGGAGAATCTTGAACAGATGTAAGGGTGCTATGTGCCTTCCTCTACATTTCTCAAGAACGGTGGCAGCTAGGGAAACAGCATAGGCATCACAAGCACAAGCTTGTAGTACGTCGGTTCTATAAGAGACCTAGCAAACTTCCACACACCATGAAATGAACACAAAAGACCAAAACACGCAAACGTCACCTGTGCCATCCCCACTCCACCCCCTGCTCTTTGCGCAACCGTTTCCGCCTTTGTTACTGCCAATGCTCTGCCCGTCTCCCCAGCTGGTTGGACAACAACAAGATTGAAGGCCCTCTGCCAGCTGCCATGTGCTCGCTGACCTCGCTGTGGCGCCTGTGAGTGACAGTCAGATATAATTTGCCATGAGGCTGTGGCGCATATGAGTGACATTCATACACTTGATTATTTTTTTTGAGGAGTTTTCCACCCAGGACTTACTGAGACACATGAGCAACGAGCGAACCGAACACGTTTGTCTCGAACAGTTTGCGAACACTTGGTCAATTCGAACCGAACCGAACACGTTTGACTCGAACAGTTTTCCTAAATGTTAGTGTTCCCCGTTCGAGTATAGGGTCGAACAGTTTTGAGGCAAGGCCGAACACTAAGGTGTTTAACCCGAACTCGAACAGTTTGCCTTGGGGGGTTCTTTCAGTATAGCCACATTCAGGCAGGGCGAGTGTACTAGAAGCAATGTCACGTTCCCTATAGCCCTACAAGAGATATAGTTAGGCTTGGTGCAGATCTGGTGGATATCCAATTTCGCCTTGCTTAACTCCAACCTAAACCGTAATGCCCTTAGTTCCTTTTTCTAACCGTCTCCTACCCTAATCCAACCTTATACCTAACGTTTCCAGCCACAAAGTGGAATTTCAACCATGGGAATGTGTTAGTTGAAGTGGGTAGGGGGCGGAATGCCATCCTTAGGCTATATCGACGATTGAGCTGATTCTTGAGCTCAATCCTCGCCCTCCCCTTTTAGATCCAACCAGCGCGTCAAACTTTGACGCGTAGAAAATTGCACGAACACCTAGGTGTTTGCGACGAACACGTTGTATTCGCGAACACCTAGGTGTTCGTGCATTTTTCTGCACAAGAACACTCGAACAGTCGAACATGTTCGTGACGAACACCTTGGTGTTCGTCACGAACGATTTTGGGCAAAAAAACCACTCAAACACGTTCGAGTCGAACACTTTCGAGTCGAACCGAACAGGAGTTCGATTTTTTGCTCATGTCTCCTCTCATGTTTTCATGATTTTAGAGTGTGAAGTAGTTTCACTTTTGTGTGTTTGCCTTTCTGTATGGGTGTGTGACTCACTGCGCGGCATGATGAATGCTGTGCTGCTGGCAGCTTGATAGGCAACAACTCTCTCTATGGACCCCTTCCAGACTGCCTCTTTGACAAGTGTATCACACGGATGTGAGCCTACCGTGCATACTCTAATCTCAGTACCGCCCTTAACATGGAAATGCACAGACATCATTATCTGGTGGGACGGCCTCCAACCAAACACTCAATATCATCTTCTGCCCTCCGTGATCCCCCTGTGCTTACCGCAGTGATGTGAGCGGCAACAGCCTGTATGGGCGAATCAACCGCGACTTTGAGAACATAGCGGCAGATGGCAATGCCCTCGTCAACTTGGCTGACAACTTCTTCTTTGGAGATGGGGTGCTCTTTGCTGCCGGCTACAAGGTCTGCCCCACTGAGATCCGCGAGCCCAACAACCTATACTCGCGGGACACCGGACATGATGGTGGCAATTGCGGCGATCTCGCTCTTTATTTATCCGCGGAGGAGGTGGGCAAGATGGCGAGGTTGAGTCTGTCGGGCAACTGCCTGACCCTCACCCCGAACAAAAAGTGCTCATCCAACGCCACCCAGCGCAGCACGGCAGCCTGCCAGGCGTTCTGAAGCATCACGGACAACGGCCCGTGTGACGGCCATGGGGCGTGTGTGCCGGCTGCCCCCGCCTCCCCCTCCAACTTCACGTGCCTCTGCGATGCGGGGTACACCACTGTCGACTCGGGCAACGGCTCCTTCACATGCGCCATCGTCCACCCCACCACCACCACCAACACTGGTAACCCTTGCTTCGTTATTACAGCTCCACAGCACTGCCTCATTCCTATGTTCTGCACCAATAACCACGTTTCATGAGGCTTCTGCAATACACACGTTTGTCACCGCCCCATCTCTATTCCTTGGCAGTGTCGTCCCTGTCCCCGGGTACCATAGTGGGCATTGTTCTGGGAGGCTTTGCCGGCTTTACACTTCTAGCCGCTGTGGTCGCATGGCTGCTGTGGCCCCGCGGATAAAGTGAGCCTTTCGTCCCTTCTTCAGTCATATTCCGTGCCCTCCATTGCGGCACCACTTTCCTGGCTCCCTTCCGTGCCAATTTTCCTGCTACTACTCTGCCTGCCCTTGTGGTCTGTGCGTGCAAATATACCTTTGGACGCTCACACCTCTGGTATCGCATTTGTTTTCTGCGCACAGAGAAGTGGGAAGGATTGGATGTGTGTGAGCAGTTCACACTGCAGCAGATGCTGACTGCCACCAACAACTGGTCGGAGGACAATGTGCTGGGCAAGGGAGGCTTTGGCATTGTCTACAAAGGCCGCTCGCCACAGGGCCAGCTGTGGGCCATCAAGCGCTCCACCATCATGACCAATGACTTTGAAACGGAGGTAAGGCACCATGTAGCATGCGGGAGAAACGGTACTTGTTTAGTTTTTAATCACCTGCAGACTCGGTCACTAATTGCTCAACTATTCATTTGTCTATAATGTGCTCTTATTGCAGGTGCGAGCCATGGCCTCTCTCCACCACACGCATCTCGTGCGCCTGCTGGGCTTCTGCCTGGACCAGAACGTGGAGACGGGCAAGCAGGAGCAGATCCTCGTGTACGAGTTCATGGCCAACAGGGACCTCGAGTCCCACATCCATGCGAGCAAACGTGAGTTGCACTTGCACGATCGCTCGATGCATTTAAAATTTTGGCCCAAGCACCATCATTCATAAACTCACGCTTTCTGCTCCGTCTACATGTTCCATGACCCAGGTCCGCTCTCCCTGCGCCAAAGGTTGCGCCTCGCACAGGGAGCAGCAGAGGGCCTGACGTATCTGCACGGGTTTGACACACCCATCGTTCACCGCGACATCAAGCCCGCTAGCATCCTCGTGACTGGAGACATGCAAGCCAAGGTGGCTGACTTTGGCCTGCTCAAGCGCCTCACTCACGGCGATGCTGATGTCACGCGAGTGGCCGGCACTCCGGGCTATGTGGATCCGGACTACAGCCGCACCCGCGTCATCACTGTCAAGAGTGATGTGTTCAGGTGAGCTTGTGCACAACTGCTTTCTTCAACCTTTCAGGTTATGATAAATATTGGTATTGTGTGCATTGCGACCTCTTTCCGAATGTTGACCCGAGTGGCCGGCACCCAGGCCGCGTCATCACTGTCAAGAGTGATGTGTTCAGGTGCGCATGCTTGTTCCTTTGCACAATGGAATTGTGCTCCTCTGTTTTTTTTCTCCCTTTTTACCTTCCTGGTTATTAGCTCGATAAGTGATAGCATCAAGAATTGGCTGAGTTGAAGTTACTCAAAGGTTGCTGAATATTTCCATAATGACCACACGTGGTCTTTCTACCTTGGAACTTCGGTTTCTTTGTTGAATGTTGATGGTGTACCACCTATTGATTGTCTTTTTTAAAAGCATGCAATACTACTGCATTGGGATGAGGCTGGCCCATAGTATGAGGCAGGCCCTCAGATTGGTTTTGGGCTAGTCTGAAAATTCAGAGTTGGTACATGACTTAACTCTGAAAATCAGAGTTTCTCCTGCAGAAATACCACTGCACTCTAGGAAAAATCGCATTTTTTTTTTTTTTTTTTTTAAGGGCTGAATTTTCAGAGTTCACTTCAAAAAGAGGCTGAAATATCAGAGTTTTTTAGGCAAATCAGAGAAATTTCTCTGACTTCTGGGACCAGGCACAACGTAGCGCGCCAGGATGCCGAGGATGTACGCAAGGTCAGATCGAGTGCACGCCATCAGGTACATGAGGCAGCCCACAAGCTCTGGATACGCACCACTCGGCTCTACGGACTTGTCCGAAGGTGGAGCTGAGAGCGAGTGGCTTGTAGGGAGAGGAGTGGACTGTGGCGAGGAGAACTGAAAGCGGAAGCGCTGAAGGACCTGCTGCACCATATGTTTATGAGTCAGAGTAATGGTGCGTGCTACTCTGTCCCGGGTGATCTTCAAGCCAAGATAGCTGCGCAGCTCACCCAGGTCGGTGCAAGGGTGTCTGTTCTGCAGCTCCGCCTTCATAAGGGCCAGTGCCTCAGTGTCAGCAGTCGCAAAGACCAAGTCGTCGACATACACAAAGATGTACAGCGGCGGCAGAGAAGGGTCGGTGCGCAGAAACAGCGACGGGTCAGCAGTCGAAGTGCCGCAAGTGTCGTCGTCAGTGTGTCGTGCCACTCGCGGGACGCCTGACGGAGACCGTAGACTGGCCGCCGGAGACTCCACTGGGTACCCTCAGGAAACGACCCAGTGAAGCCAGGTGGGCGGCGCAGCCAGGTCTCCTCGTGAAGGCTGTCCCGCAAGATAGCTGTCGAGAAGTCAAGCGAGTGCAGCTCGTAGTCACGCTGTGCTGCATTGTGTAGTAACACCTGAAGAGTGGTCATCTTTGGGATGGGTGAGAAGGTCTGAAAGAAGTCGACCCTCTGACGCTGACTGAAGCCTCGTGCAACGTAGCGCGCCTTAAAGACAGGCGGGGAACCCGGCGGCCGCTTCACCTTGAAAATCTATATGCCATCGACTATGTTCGCCTCAGAAGGGGGAACTGCATGACATAGGTGCCTGTGGACGTCCATGATGACATCTCTATGACCATGGTTGTCTGCCAGTGAGAGGAGTACAGACCCGTGATTGCCTCTGCGTAGGAGCCCGTGGTCGGAATGTCCTGTGCATCCGGGTCTCCCTCAGGGGCAAGCAACATGGCAGCGAGATGAGGTACAGCAGACGCGAGGCACTCCAGCTCAAACTGCCTGTCCTCAAGGACGTCACAGCCAAGGGCAAGCTCACCCCTGACGGATGGAGGACAGTCAGATGCAGAAACAAGACTCGCAAAGTAGTTAAGGCGGTAGGCAGCAGCAAAGTCAACGAGCTTAGTGACTAAGGCAGACGCAGCAGCAGACTCGAACATAGGGTCAGTGACAAGCGTGGCCAAACAACGAGTGACAGTAGGACTAGCAGCACGAGCAAGGTCAGACTCAGGGTCAGGAACGTCAGGAAGAGAGGACGTTGGAGGATGCCCTCCTCATGACAAAAGTCCTCAAGGAGACCGGAGGAGAACTCACCTCCACAGTCAGAGTGCAGACGGAGCACTGGGAGGTCCTGACGGAACCGTGCGCACAGCTGGCAGCGAAAAGCGCAGATCCAAGGGATCATAACAACACGGACGTCTCCCTTGCGCTGCAAGGGAAACACCATGGTGTAGCGCGTATAGTCGTCGACGACCAGCAGGAAGTAGCGATTTTGGTGTGGCCCAGAGACGCGGGCTGGGCTCCACACGTCCATGTGCAGTGTCTGCAGAGGAGCAATGGTCGGAGGGAATGAGGAGGAGTGAGGAGCGGCGCGCTGCCGCCCCTCGACGCAGGGAGTGCACGGCGTCGCAAGCGACGGCGGGATTGGGGGCAGGGACCTCGGGAGGCCAGAGACAAGGAGACGCGAATGTATAAAAAGATACCCGCTAGTAGTCGCTGATCAAGCTGGCAACAACAAAAAGATCCAGAAAAAGCAAAAGCGCGTAAACGTGGCGACTTTCGATAGGGGAAAAAAAGGAGAAAATGCTGGCACATAAATTAAAACATCACGACGGGCCGGCGCAAGGGGAAATCGCCGAGACAAAGGAGAATCAGTGAAACAAGACCCACCCCGACCAAGAAACTCCAGCCGTATACCCCGACAAGTAAGAATCTGTTAAAGTTATCATATAACGCTACTTTAGCTAAGTTTGTTACTACTCGTGAATTTAAAAACTTTTATTTTTTCTAAGGGAGAGTTAGAAGCTAAGAAAAGGCCTTCATATATTGTACCGATTCCATAAAAGTTGGGGACTCAAGTCCAAAGCGTTGAGATCGAGCGTTCTGAAGAGTTGGGGCGCATTCCTGAGCTCGTGTCATCTGGTGTTGGTGTCATCTGAAAACTTTGGAGCGCACGTGATTGGCCCATTGTGATTTTTGGGCCAATCGCATGAGTTCCAAAGTTTTCGGATGACACCAGCAACGGATGACACGAGCTCATGAATGCGCCTTTAGCATTCTCGGCCAGCAACGCCGTGTTAAGGCTCCCTACTCCTCACAGGTGAAGCCTACAGAGTAGCAAAGGCTTAGGGGAAGGTTTTAGAGCCAGGAGCAACTGAAACAGCCTCGGGAAAATCCTTCAACCCACCCTCAGGTAAAAGTTGAGTTAGAGTCTACAGCTTCGGGTGTAGGACCTAGGGATAATGTTTATCAACCGGAATGCGTGTTTCTACAATAACACGAGACGTCCGGAGCTGCAAAGTTGTACGAATACGCGAGATTCCTGAGGCGACTCTTGCACGGTTCAAGAAAACAGTGAACAAGAGTAACACAGGGTGCCTGGCACTGGTGATGGCAACAAAAGAGGAGAAGTCAGAGCTACCTGTAGCAGTACAAAAGGTTCTGGAGGAGTGCAAAGATATCATGCCAGACGACCTAGCTGCAGGAGTGCTACCGGAGCGAACTCAGCAGGTTAAAACAAAACCTTTTGTGCACCGTACTGCCTCACCTCAGCAGATTTAAGAAATTGTTCGAGTGCCCACTAGATCGTGACATCATCCGACCCTCCATGTCACCCTACGGCGCACCGGTTCTCTTCACTCCCACACCGGATGGCAGACTGCGGATGTGCATCGACTACATGGCCCTCAACAAACAGATTGTAAAAAACAAGAGTCCTACCATCTCATTGATCAACTGTGTGGTGCAACAATATTCTTGAAACAATACTTGCGGCCAGGATACTGGCAACGTACTTCCTGAAACAAGACGACGTTCCGTACAGGATACAGCTCATACTAATACTTGGTGATGCCTTTTGGACTCTGCAATACACCAGCAACGTTTCAGGCAAAGATGAATCACATCCTACGACCCCTACTGGACGAGTACCTGGTGGTGTACCTGGACGACATTCTTATCTACTCCAAACATATGAAGGAGCATGTGGAGCACCTACATAAAGTTCTCGAGATCCTGCGGAAAAAAATCACTTCTACTTGAGGCTTTGCCCTGAAAGTGCAGTTCCTTGGGCACATGGTGATTGCCGAGGGCGCAAATGTAGACCCGTGGAAGATCGAAGCCGTAAAATAATGGAAGGTTCTGGAGAACGTTAAGGGTTTGCAGCAGTTGTGTCGAAGTACGCGAAGAACGCATCACCTCTCCGAAACTTACAGAAGAAGGATACGCCCTATGCATGGGATAATCCTCAACAGGAAGCCACGGAGTAGCTACTGACAGCTCTGACAACCGCCCCAGTACTGATCCGGCCCGATCTAGACAAAGACTATGTGGTGGAATCCGACGCGAGTGACCAGACAGCCGAGTTTCTTGGGCGTTCATCCACCTACAACAACTCATACTTGCACCACAGAATGTGATTCTATAGACACACCTGGACGTGCAAGGGATTTGTGGTGTCCGGTTGTTGTCTCAAAAGTTTGTGGATTATGTGAGGTGCTGTCGGTGGTAATGTGGGCGTGTAGCAAGGATAAGGGCAAGAAGAAGACGTTCGCAAGCAAATTCAAGTTGCAGTTCATGCTATATCTCCTGACGAACGTTTTGCAGCTGCTTAATAGACCTAGCCTTGCCTTCCATAAGAAGATGGTATAGTTTGCTTCTTCATGTCCTCGTTGCTCCTTGTCTTTGAGACATGGTTTGACATTTACGACAATCTGGAGCAGCTGATTGGATTTTTTATGCGACATGGAGCTTCTAGACGTACTTGCTATAAGCTCCCGCTACTAGCTTATACAAGTGCCTGACAATCTCGAGCTGGACGGCTGCAAATGGCTGCTCGAGTTGCCCTGCTGTCTACCGCACCTCCAATCCCTCAAACAAATCATCATAAGTCGATGCGTTAAACTTACACCGCTGCTCGAAGACAAGAGGTAGTCACCACCCTTTCACGAATTGGAAATCAGCAACTGCCATCGCCTCCTCACCCTCCCACCCTCCCTTTCTGAATTAACCGAGCTCGAGTTCCTGAAAGTTGCCAAGCGCACACATCTAGAGTCTCTCCCAGACAACCTAGGCCAACAATCCATCCATAAAACCCTGCGCCTCGCCGCGCTCCCTAATTTCGCCTCTCTACTCAGAACCCTAGACCAGCTGACTTGCTCGCTAAGCCTGCCGGAATCTGTAGGGGTGCTGGCCCGCTTAAGGGAGCTGCAGCTGCGACACTAATAGATTTAACGGGTCTGCCAATAGCGATGCGCACGATGACGCAGCTGGAGGTGGAGGGGTGCTGCGAACTGGTCACACTGCAGCTGCTGGAAGGAGAGGTCGTGGGTGCGGCTCGAAGGGAGGGAGGTTTGGAGGCCGTGGGTGTGGCTGGTAGGGAGGGGTCATGGCAAGCAATGCATGCAGGACAAGGAACTGGAGGGGAAGGAAGGGTCCTTGAGCAGCAGGAGGAAAGCCAGAAGCAAGAGCGGAAGGAGGGGGCAGTAGGGACAGCAGATGCAAAAGCAGGGTCATAACGTAGAAGTGGATGCAGCAGCAGCAATTTCAGCACTGCTCCAAGCCCTCAGCTGTTTCACTCTCAAGACATTTTTTTCTCAGCCCCACTCCCCCTTCTGCCCTGCATGCTTGCACCTCCTGCCTCCCTGCTTCTTGTAGGCTTCACGTCCCTGTGCACCTTCCTCGTGTCCTTGAGTGCACTAGCAGCGCTGGAGCAGCTGGCTGCAATACTAAGGGCTATGGGGAACCTGAAGTGGATGCAGGGGCTGAGGGTGGATGGGTGCAGATCGGTGCTGCTGCCGTCGTTGCTGACGTGCTTGGGGTGGCTAGACAAGCTAATTGTAGTAAGTAATGGGTGCGGCGTAGGTGCAGGGGTAGAGGTGGGGGTGGGGATGGGGATGGGGCTGGACATAGATGGCTGCATGAATGGTTGCAAAAGCAGCACTAGCGGGAGTGGACCCAGGTGTGTTAGATCAAACAAAGGTGCTTCTAATAGGCGTAGCACTCAAGATAGTGGCAGTATAGATGCTGCTGCCATGGTTGCGAGCATACCAATCAGTGGCAGCAACTCCAATGACTCTGGTGGAGCAAAAATTTCTGGCACTAGTGCTGCTGCTACCACCACCACTAATGCTAGCTCTGCTACTGCTGCTGCTGCTGCTGCTAGCAAAGCTGCTGCTGCCAGTGGTGGTGGTGGTGGTGGTGGTGGTGGTGGTGGTGGAGGTGAAAGGGTGGAACCAGGAAAACTACACAGCATCCCAACTTGTCTGTCACCGTCTTGCACAGACACCATGTGTGGAAATGTGGCAAATAGTAGCTGCATCAGCAGATTCAGCGGGGAGAGCACTAATTATAGTGGATACGAGCACAAGCAGTAGTTGCAATGGAGCCAGCAACGGATTCATTATAACACAGTCACACCCACAGCTGCACAACCACCTTCACCCACACCTACGTTCACACAGTCCTCCTCGCCTCCCTTTCCCGCCTCACCCGCCTGTGACTTACCGGATCCACCAAGCTCACCTCCTTGGCAGACCTCCCTTGCGGTCAAAATGCTGCTCGTACTGACTCCTACTGCTTTGCAGTGGGTCCTCCTCCTCTTTCTCCTCCTCCTCCTCCTCCTCCTCCTCCTCCTCCTCCTCCTCCTCCTCCTCCTCCTCCTCCTCCTCCTCCTCCTCCTCCTCCTCCTCCTCCTCCTCCTCCTCCTCCTCCTCCTCCTCCTTCCTCATCACCACCCATTTCACAGCCCCCAACGGTTCTTTCTTCCTCTACCTCACCAACCTCCGGGACCTGCAGCTCGAGTCTTGCCTCTCTCTCTCTCTCTCCTCCCTCCCCTCCTCCCTCTCATCTCTCTCCTCCCTCAACCGCCTCCACCTCGCCTTCTGGTCCTCCCTCTTCGCCCTCCCGCCACGCCTCTCGTCCTTCTCCCACCTCCACTCCCTCAACGTCCAAGAATGCATCTCCCTCACCTCCCTTCTTCGCTCCCTGTCCTCCCTCGTCTGCCTGGAAGTGCTGTACACCAAGGGGTTTATCCAGCACAAAAACCTTTATGACGATATCGGCTATTTGCCGAGGCTAATGGAAATGGATATGAGGGAATGTGAGGGGCTGCTGGCGTTGCCTGGGTAAGTCACCCACCTTACGGGGCTCAAGTGGGTGGATGTCTTTAGGTGTAGCCGTTTGGATACAGACTCGGTTCCTGCAAGGATAGGCCAAGCCACAATATGCTGACGCTAATGTGCTCCGCCTGCCAGGATAATCGTGCTAGGCTGGTGCTGTAGAGAGACACTCTACAACGGGAGTGGACTACAGAGGAGTGCACGGGGTTGTGCGGGTGATTGTAGTGTTCTTCTAGCGTTCTCACTACTTCCTGTGTTCACAAAGAAATTTGGCAAACAAAGAATTTGAGAAGAATAATATAATACAATGGGGCATGCAAGTTGATATAGCAAGGAAGGCATTGCAACACCTAGCATGCATTCTGCAAGGCGAACAACCAGCGCAGCATCAGAGCGGCTTGCCAACTCTGCAGCAGGGCGGCCTGCCAGCGCTGCATTCGCATGTGAATATCTGCGCACATATTCGCACCTACCATGTAGGTGCAGGTCGACGGTTGCACCGTCAGGCACAATGCGCAAATTCTAGGTAGAAAACGTGTCGTCAGCTTTGCCAGGTGTCCACCGTCGAGCACGTGATGCCGTTCCGCATGTCAACTTTCGCCAAACCTCCTGGGCTAAATTCGCTCACCTCCGCAGAGTTTTGCAATCGCGCGCATTCGGCCGACCAGTTCGCCGAGACAAGGCTCGCCAAGCAGCACCCCGGGATCAGAGGAAGAGCTTGTCGAAAAGCACCCCGTCGATCAAAGTTCGTCAACTGGCTGGACGATCAGAGGACGAGCTCCTCGAAAGCCACGCCGTCGATCAGAGGATGGGCTGGTCGACGATCACTGTCGTCTAAACCCGAGAGCCAATCCGATGACCACTTCCTCAAATTCACCGTGGCGCCGCAGAGAGCGCCTGCGCCCAAGCGAGGGCGGGACCCTTCAGTTCGACACTCCCCTGCCTAGCTCAAGCTTGGAAATCCACGCACAAGGTCCACCCACAACCTACGTCATAGATTACAAGGGGATATTTTGACGGCGTGCACACCCGTGCACGTCGATCGCCACACCAGCCATGTTGGAGGACATGGCGCCAACTGCTGCACGTCGTCGTTGTCGCTGATGTCGGCAAGGCGAACTTGGCCGACCGTGACAGAGCACCGGTCGAAGGCTTGAAATTGTTGCGCCTTTGTGAGGAAGTCCGCCCGCTGCTCGGTGGTCGAGATGTATTCCAGCGCAATCTTCTTGCGCTTCACCATCTGCTGCATCCAGGCGTAGCGTTGCTCCATGTGCTTGAGGTTGCCCTTCAGCTCCAGCCCCTCTGCGACCGTGATGGTAGACTAATTGTCCACGTTCAGATCAGTCGGTGTCCCATCGTCGAGGAGTTGGAACTCGGCGAGGAGGAAACGAAGTCGACGAGCCTCCTTGCCAGCTTCGGTGGCCACCATGTACTCCGACTCCGTCGAGGACCGAGTCACGCACTTGATGCGCTGGCTCATCCAAGAGACATCTGCGCTGCCGCAGACGAAAACGTAGCCATGCTACTGCGATTCAGCTTGTTGCCGGCGTCGTTGGCATCCACGTAGCCGACCCGTTTTGAGAGTTTCTAGCCCGCCGCCGAACTCGAGGGCAACATCGCGCGTGTCAGTGAGGCAGCGGTCGACCTCACGCTAGTGCTGGTCGATCCTCACTGTCAGACCGGACCCCAGTTTGCTGCACACGAAGGCGATGTCGGGCCGATTTGTCGTGGCGGCGAACTACAGCGAACCGACCTTTTGTCGGTACTCCTCTTCTTTGCGCGACTGGAATTCATCATCGTTGAAAGTCGGCTTGGCATAGGCATCGATGGAGACATGCATCTTTGGATGCCAACTAGATTGCTCCTCGTCGATGAAGCGCCTGAGCAGCTTGTTGATGTAAGATTGCTGGTGGAGCCACAGCCTCCGCGCAGGTCGGTCGCGCACGATCTCCAGCCCAAGATACTTCTCGACAGGACTGTTCTCGCGCAGCTTAAAGGCGGCCTCCAGCATCTCCTTCAGCTCCTTCAGCATCGCGGTGCTGCTGCTGGCGGCGAGTAGGTTGTCGACGTAGACGAGCACCCAGCATGCGAGTCCGTCGTCGCCAACTCTGAAATAGAGAGCCTCGTCGACTTGGCTCTTGCTCCAGCCCGCGCCGGTCAGCACTGCGTCGAGCGCCGAATACCACAGCAGCTAGGTCTCCTTAAGGCCGTACAAGTTCTTCAACAACTTGCAAATGCGGCCGGTGCCGTCGTTGTAGTGCTCGGGCTGGTCCATGTAGAGCACGCGGTCAAGCTTGCTCTAGAGGAAGGCGTTCTTCATGTCGAGCTGCATGAGGAGCCCTGCACCACCAAGCGAGCCTTTTCGCGGGCGACCGTGTCATCGGCGTACATGTCGGGGCCGAGCTCGGGCAGGCCTGCGTCAGCCTGCGCGTCGTCGAGAAGGGTGCGGTAGGAAGTCGCCGGCATGCAGGTAAGGCGATCAGCTCACCTCGATGCCCCTCTCGCCGCGCGCAGCGCAGGTGGGAGCACCCCATCGCACTGATGCGCGCAGGCGATGATCCGCGCAGGTCCGCCCATCTGCGCAGGTGAACCCATCCCGTGCTTGACCGCCCATACGCGCAGGTACGGGCATCAGCGCAGGCATGCGCATCCGCGCGGGTACGCGCATCCGCGCAGTTGGTGGTGCCGCATTGGGGTTTTTACTCCTGTGAGTAATTTCCGTTTTTGACCCAGAGGTCTAGGGTTGTGCACGAAGGGTTACCACCGCCCAGAGCCTAGGGTTCGAATCCCAGCTGGTCACATTCTCCGCCTGACCAAGTGGTCGTAACGAGAACTTGGAGTGGTAACCTAGTGTGATACCCCAGTAACCTTTTGCTGCTGACCTGCCCCTCCCCAGCAAAGTAGCTGCCTTGCCTCCTCAGAACAATCGAGTTCCCTGCCAGGACTTGTTGAATGTGCACAGGTGTAACGCCTGTGGGGCTTACACGTAAGGGTTGAGTGCCTCCGCTGCGCCTCAAATATATTACCCTCGTTTTGACCCAGTGGGTAACGAGGCGTTATAACAGGTGGTCATCAGGTGGACAGGTGGGCATCAGGTGCACAGGTGGGCATCAGGTGCACAGGTGGGCATCAGGTGCGCAGGTGGGCATCAGGTACACAGGTGGGCATCAGGTGCACAGGTGGGCATCAGGTGCACAGGTGGGCATCAGGTGCACAGGTGGTCATCAGGTGCACAGGTGGGCATCAGGTGCACAGGTGGGCATCAGGTGCACAGGTGGGCATCAGGTGCACAGGTGGTCATCAGGTGCACAGGTGGGCATCAGGTGCACAGGTGGGCATCAGGTGCACAGGTGGTCATCAGGTGCACAGGTGGGCATCAGGTGCACAGGTGGGCATCAGGTGCACAGGTGGGCATCAGGTGCACAGGTGGGCATCAGGTGCGCAGGTGGGCATCAGGTGCATAGGTGGGCATCAGGTGCACAGGTGGGCATCAGGTGCACAGGTGGTCATCAGGTGCACAGGTGGGCATCAGGTGCACAGGTGGGCATCAGGTGCACAGGTGGGCATCAGGTGCACAGGTGGGCATCAGGTGCACAGGTGGGCATCAGGTGCACAGGTGGTCATCAGGTGCACAGGTGGGCATCAGGTGCACAGGTGGGCATCAGGTGCACAGGTGGTCATCAGGTGCACAGGTGGGCATCAGGTGCACAGGTGGGCATCAGGTGCACAGGTGGGCATCAGGTGCACAGGTGGGCATCAGGTGACAGGTGCACAGGTGGGCATCAGGTGCACAGGTGGGCATCAGGTGCACAGGTGGGCATCAGGTGCACAGGTGGGCATCAGGTGCACAGGTGGTCATCAGGTGCACAGGTGGGCATCAGGTGCACAGGTGGGCATCAGGTGCACAGGTGGGCATCAGGTGCACAGGTGGGCATCAGGTGCACAGGTGGGCATCAGGTGCACAGGTGGGCATCAGGTGCACAGGTGGGCATCAGGCGCACAGGTGGGCATCAGGCGCACAGGTGGGCATCAGGTGCACAGGTGGGCATCAGGTGCACAGGTGGGCATCAGGTGCACAGGTGGGCATCAGGCGCACAGGTGGGCATCAGGCGCACAGGTGGGCATCAGGCGCACAGGTGGGCATCAGGCGCACAGGTGGGCATCAGGCGCACAGGTGGGCATCAGGCGCACAGGTGGGCATCAGGCGCACAGGTGGGCATCAGGCGCACAGGTGGGCATCAGGCGCACAGGTGGGCATCAGGCGCACAGGTGGGCATCAGGCGCACAGGTGCACCACACCCGCCCGCCCGCCATGATAATTTCACAGCCCCTGCTTCAACACAGGGCACTGCTTTCTTAATCCATAACTCGCGAAACAGATGCAGCACTGAACAGGGTGATTGATGTATGGCACGGGTGGGGATTGAATGGTGAATGACTGAGAGCATTGAGAGGATTGATCCGGTGTGGGGGGAAGGCTTAAAGTGAAGTGAAAAAAGTTGGTATGCTGTGTGCTCTGAGCATCAACAGATGGCCCAGCCAGACTAGGCTCGGTTATTCCAATTCCCCCTTTTCCATCTCCCCCCTTTTCTATCCCCTTTTTCCATCTACCCCCTTCCCATCCACCCCCCTTTCCATCTTCCCCCTTTCCATCTCCCTTTTTCCACCCCCTCGTTTTCCATCTCCCCATTTTTTCATCCCCCCCGCCCCCCTCTTTTCCATTTCCTCTTTTTTCAACTCCCCCCTTTCCTATCTCCTTCCTTTCCATCTCCCCCTTTTCCTCCCCCTTTTCCCTCTCCCCCTGTTCCACCACTCTCCTTCCCATCTCCCCTCTTTCCATGTTCCCTCTTTCCATCTCCCCCCTTTCCATCTCCCCTCGTCCCATCTCTCCCCCTTAACCTTCCACTGGGCTCATGCTACAGGAGGCAGCCGGGCTGGTGAAGGTGTTTGCGCATTTTGGGCCGCGCAGCAGCAGCAACCTGAGCTACTGGGGGCTGGCGGGGTGTGTGAACAACAACTCCATTCTGGCGTACACCTTTCACGCTGATCCCATCATCTACTACAGCAGCGGCACCGCCATGATGCTGCTCTCAGACCAAGACAGGTCAGCTATAGCGCTGGAGCCGACTCCACTGAGACCTCTCAAAACAGGTCAGCCCTGGCCAACTCTTTTGAGCCGCCCTTGAATGGCAGGTAGGTTGACTGAAGCCATCGTCAACTACAGCAGCGGCACCGTCATCATGCTCCTCTCAGACCAAGGCAGGTCAGTCAGGTCTGGCTGGCTTTTGAGGCACCCTAAACCCTAAAGTCCAGGGGGCTTATGCAATGGGCAACTACAGCAGCGGCAGCTACAGCAGTGGCACCGCCATGATGCTCCTCTCAGACCAAGACAGGTCAGTGAGCTCTGGCTGGCTTTTGAGGCACCGAAAACACTAAAGTCACTAAAGTTTGCGGGGCTTATGCAATGGGCAGCTACAGCAGCGGCAGCTACAGCAGCGGCACCGCCATGATGCTCGTCTCCGACCAAGACAGGTCGGATTTAGGCTGCTGCTGCACGCCCGGGGCCTGAAGCATGTGATGCTTCTTCAAAGGCATATTTGGATCCATCTGCCATTTGAAGAAGGTCCAAGGTAGCCTTATAGCGAGCTGCAACCAGCTGATTTGGGAAAAGTCGAGCCAAGCTGAAACCGAGTACGGCTGGGATGGCCTTTTGCTTCGTTTCATTCACCGCTTGTTAGCCCTTATCATGCTACCCTTAATCCATGTCGTTCTTTCGCAGGCATGAAACAATATGACGGCATGCGGCAATGTCGACGAGTTGTAGCAACTAGATATGCTCGCCACCCGAGTCGAGTCGAGACAAGTCGGTTTTTCACTTTGCGCAACTCCACCCCTCGAGTTCTGAACTTCAATTGCGTATCTTGGCTCATGAGTAGATCTCGACGTGACCAACCACCAACCTAGGCATGGGCAATCTGACCGTCGAGTCATTGAGTTGCAAGGGTAGTAGGTTACACTTTCTTCTCCCCCCTCATGGGATAGAAGTCCCCATCCGTCTCAACTGAGTTGTGGTTTCTTCCAACCCCTTCGAACCAGTTTGGGTCGTAACATCGAAGCAATGGCCGGCTAGCCCCCACTCACCCACCGCTATCTCCTCCCTCCTGTACTTGTCGACCAGGCATTTTGCAAAAAAACAAGTGTTGTCTACCGTAGCTCCCACTCTCACGTCATCCATTGTTCGGTCATCTCTGTGTTGCGTACTGCAGCTTTATAGTTCAGCACTGTCAACAGTGCTCTCTATATGTCAGTGGTGAATGACACCACGATCTCTCACACCCCTTCGAGCTGTGCAGCCTCCATCTGCCTCCCACTGGCCCCATTTACAAACAACAATATGTTCCGTGCGACCTTTCAGCGTGATGGAAGTACTAGGTCACAACGTTAGGTAGTGGAGAATTTGTTCTAAAATATGAGCGTAAACTCTCTGGTCGTAGTGCCACGTAGTGCCATGTCCTCCACTTCGCTCCGGTTCTGACATGAGCTCATATCCCTGCATGCCTCTTTGCACGTGCCTCTCATACACCTCTCTATCCATGCAGGCCATTGGTGGAGAACATCACGGGGTTTCAGATCCGCTCAGTGCTGGGCCTGCCCGCCCCCAGGAAGGATCTGTACGGAGTGAACGTGTGTGGCAGCTTCAACCCCGAAACTCCCCTGCAGCCCTTCACTGACTTGGCTCCCATCGTCCCTCCGGTCCTCATGGCCAATCTGTTCAAAGGACGACCCACCGGCGGGCCTCCTTTCTTCATTGTACATGTGATGAATGGTTCGTGTGCCCTTCCTCCTTTTGAGTTGACTTCAAGCCTTCCTATCCATGTTTTTGCACCTATCTTGGCGTTTCTTGTGCTATCAGCCGGCGCGCCGTCTGCATTCATGTATCTTCTTATGCTTCTGTGGCTTTCTACTCAGAGCACGTTGGATTTCGCAAGTGAATGCTGCCGTTCGCCTCATGTATTAGCTGGTTGCTGTAGTCTTTCTTGTTATCTCGTCTGTTCTATCTCGTTTGTTATCTAGTGTTGGCTTGTAAATGCCAACTGGTTTTGAAGCTAACGGTGCATGGCACAATTTTGAACGCATGCTGCGAGTAGGTCTCATGTCATCTACCATATACTTTGCACAAAGGGCAAGAATGCCATCGTTCGTTCTCAACTAGCCATTCTTCTTGCCATTGATCCTCCTTTTTCTGCATGGTGTGGTAACCCCATTAATTCATTTATTCATGGCAACCGAATGTGACAGGAAAAACTCTATTGAGTTTCTTTTGACAAAAGGGCGGCTCTTTTTCCCTCCCCCCTTCATGCACCCTCCTCTCCCCCTGCATGCACCCTCCTCTCCCCCTGCATGCACCCTCCTCTCCCCCTGCATGCACTGCACGCACTCTCCCCTCCCTGCTTGTCCTCGCGCAGCCATCGTTCCATCTTTCGCCATCCTTTGCCAGCCAGCTTGGAGATAGCTCAGCAACCCTTTTGTTTGAGGCGCGTAAAAACCGTTCGATGCGCCCTCGTTGTGCCCATATTGCGCCCTCAATAACCCTTTTGAGGCGTGCAAAACCCTTCAATCCCCTCCCTCCTTTTTCCTCGCAGCCTTCGTTGTGCCCATATTCCACCATCCTCTGCCAGCCAACCCGTCTTCACAGCAAATTCTGGACAGCATGCGTGTTGCATGGGGCGGTGTGTTTCATCTTGAGCGGAGAACCAGGGAAATACTGCAAATGCTCAAGAATGGTGAGCCTTTTCATGTTCCGGGGCATAAAATGCGTATTCTGATATCCTCTTCGTTTCTCCCCTCTTCTTTGTTTGCCATAATTCCATTCAGAGTGGCTCGCGTGTGAATTTCCATGCTTGTAATATACACTCACTGTTACTGCTCCTCTTGTTGTGCTACTTGCGTTGGAGTCACTTCTGAAAATCCCCAATTGAAGCCCACTTTGTCTGGCTTCCCTGCCATATGTTTGCAACCTCGCCTTGCTGTCTGGCTTCTTCCTCACTCTTCTGACTGCAGGCAGCAGCACATGTCCCTTTGCCATGTACGACAAAACGAAAACAGGCGACCTTAAGCAGATACACGGCCCAGAGAAGCCACCATGGGAAGGCCATTCCGTTTTCCCCTTTGTGCTGCCCACTCCTGTTTCTGCCTTGCTCTCCTGATGGCAGGCAGCAGCACATATTCATTCGCCATGTACGACAGCACGGACAGCCCAGGCGAGCTGACTTTTCAGTGGACCCAAAAGTACTTGACGCGCGTGTTCCTCCCTCTCCTCTCCTATCCCCTCCGCTGCAGGCACCAGCACATATTCATTCACCATGTACGACAACACGGACGGCCCGGGCGAGCTCAGGCAGATCTATGGCCCGGAAAAGCCACTCTTGGAAAGCCAATCCGTCATTCCTGTTGTGCTGCCTGCGCCCGTTGCACCACCGGATCATGTGGAGCCTTTCCCCGAGGACATGCTGGGACGCACATTCGAAGCCCACTGCGGGTATGTATGTACACATAAGTATGAGCGAAGTGCCCGGTCAGGTCGGGTCGGGTCGATTAGTATGGCAGCCAGTCACATTCGAAACCCACTACGGGTCGCAATAGGGCTAGGATACGGTTGTTAGGAAAAAAACGTTTCTATTTGTTCGCATGGTGATTTTCTGTGCTTCTATTTAATCAAAAAGTATTTTTCTCGCATCTCCTTCCCTTTTCTGATACTGTTGATTCTATATGAGGTCTGCGGCTGCAGGAATTATTGCCAATTTGTCAATGTCTCTTTCTGTTTTTTTACTCCTTTTCCTTCTGCAGGTTTCTGGTTCCCCCTCCTGCGTGGGACCTCGTGTATGCTCCCATGCTGCTGGGCCTGCTGGTGCTGCTAGTGGCAGTGCTGCTGTCCATCATGATCGCAGTACTGGCATGGAAGAGGAGAAACATGGAAGAGGACATGAAGGAGATTCAGCTGTGCACGGCCATCTTGGAGAGAGCTGAGCGGGCCAAGAGTGAGACGGTGGCCAACGTCTCTCATGAGCTGCGCACCCCAATCATTGGCATGATGGGTGAGAGAGAGTATGGCATGGCATGATGGGTGAGTGAGAATGACATGATGGGTGAGAGAGAGCATGACATGATGGGTGAGAGCATAGCATGATGGGTGAGAGAGAGCATGGTATGGCGGTTGGAGCATGGCATGGTGGTTGAGAGCACGAATGCATACAATGCACTCAACCTCGTGCAACGTACGTGCTTAAGAAGGGATGATTGGTCACAAATGATGCACATGCAGTAAGTTGTTTCCATTCTTCCATGCATACTTCGTGCCCCCCATAGGCATGATTGAGGAATTGTTGGACTCTTCGTTGGAGGAGTGGCAGTATGAAGACCTGCGGGTGGCAAGGGCGTGTGCGGGCGAGACGGTGGAGCTCATCAACCGAGTGTTGGACCTCGCCAAGCTGCAGGCCGGCAGGCTGCAGCTCGAGACTCTCCCCTGCTGCTTGCGCCGCATCGTTCGCGAGGCAACTGCAGTTGTTGAACCCATTGCACCAGGGAAGAATCTGCAAGGTACGAATGTGCAATATGCTCATTGGCTTTCCAGAAAAGTCGTTTCGTATGGGAGGAAAATTGGTTATTCGGTTATTTAATTCAACTGGTTTTCTGTATCCTTTTTTATGTTCGTTCTTTATTTGTTCAATACAGTGACGTTCCATGTGGATGAGAGCGTTCCGGAAACTCTACTTGGAGATCCAACTCGGCTCTTGCAAGTCATGTCTGAACTTGTCTGTGAGTTGTTCGTTGCAAAAGTGTTGTTTAAAAAGGCACTAATAATACAGCACAACACAATATCTAGCATATGAACATCATCGAGCTCCTCGGTTCAATGCATCAACGCCCGCTTTCTAACCAACCGAACTAGTGCGTTTTGATCCGACCCAGTCGGCGCAGGCACCAAAAAGGTCTTTACGTGGTATGGTTGTCCTGGTGCTCACCTCTTGGTGCGGCAGTGCGCATAATTCCATGACTACTTTTGTGATGAAACTACAATACTGTTGCGTAGTAAGCTTTTGCACGACTAGGTATCAGGGAGTTGGAACTCATTTTCGAGCTCCAATATCTTCATACTGTTAATGTTAGCCCTCAATCTCACCTCTGTACTTGTACTTTTTATATCCTAGTTTAGTGTAGTTTGCACTTTGTGTTTGGTTGGGTGTACACCCACAACCCAACCAAACCCAAATGTGATCTCCAAGCAATCTCCAACCCACCAATTGGAGATTGCCTTGGGATTACCCCCAATTCCCTAGGAATGCCCCCGATTCTCTCCCCACCCTTACCTTGTCCATTTCCAATGTACTTAAAGAGCCTTAAGCTCATTACTAATGCATGGATTCTAAGCTCAAGTTCTAACATGGTATGAGAGCGTTTCAACCGCACACGCGTATCGTGATCCTCCTATCTAAACGGGCTCTTGTCCCGCTTTCTTCGGCGTAGCCGCCATCAATCCCGCCGGTGATTCGCGACTTCTTTGGCCGGAAATTATCCCGCGCCACTCTCCCTTCCTTCTCGACGACTTTCGCAACTTCTCTGGTAAGCGCATCGTCGACGCTTTAACCAATCGCATTTTTTCGACAATTGTCTTCACTCCATTTCTTCTCGTCGGGCCGCCGCCCGTCGCCCTGCAGCTTCTCGTCGGGCCGCCGCCTGTCGCCCTGCAGCTTCTCGTCGGGCCGCCGCCCGTCGCCCTGCATTTTCTCGTCGGGCTGCCGCCCGTCGCCCCGCAACGGCACTCCGCAGCTGAACAGGTGCAGCCGCGCAGCTGAGCAGCCGTGTAGCAGCGAAGCTGAGCAGCAGCGTAGCCGCGAAGCTGAGGGTGGTGTGTTGGGGGGTGTGTGGGAATAGGGTTAGCTACCGAAATCGGCCGATTTGACCTACTTTCATCGGCCTCAAAATTCCTTCTACGAGACATTCCGAAGCGGCCGACATTGAAGTCTTTTGCTCTCCGTGTCCCTCAAATTTTCTCCTTCAGAAACCATAAACCTCACAATTCTCTTTCGTAAACCTTAAACCCCAAGTTCTTCAAATTCTCCTTCGGAAACCCTAAACCTCAAGTTCCTATCGGTGACTCAAGAGCAGCGCTTCACGCGAGACCTAAAGGGTTCTTCGACATGGCCTTCCCTTTCAGCCACTCTCGCCAACCCCATCACCCCGCTCCGCCTTGAAGCCGACGGCACTAGCTCCAACTTCAAGGCATGGAGCTACGGGGTCGACAAGCTCCTCCTGAGTCGTGAAGTGGGTGGACTTGACCTCAAGGACGTTCTTCTCTATCATGGCAAGGGAAAACAACCCCCCATCCCCAAGGAGCCGTCCGATCCAACCGATGCTGCGGCAACCCAGGAGCACGAGGACTCTGTTGCCAAGTACCGCAAGTGGGAGAAGGCCGATGCGGCTATCATTAGCGTCTTCATCGGCTCCACTCCCCCCGAACTTGTCAACACGTTCCACAACTACCCCACTTCCAACGCCATTTGGAAGCATCTCCAGGACAGGTTCATGAATAAGACGGCGGTCGGGGTGGCCATCCTCATTCCTAGTATGTTTCAAGTGCGCCTTGAGGATTGCCCGGGTATGGCCGACTACATCGCAAGGTGCAAACCATCCATGGCGAGCTCAAAGAGCTGGGTATCATCTTCCCCGAACAAGCTCCTACGGCCGCCCTTCTTGTTGGCCTCACCTCGGCATACGAAGTCACAAGGAAAATGCTCCTCACGTCCTCGGCGGAAGACCTCACCTTTGCTAAGGTCTCCTCCGCCCTCCTCTCCGCCGAGAAAGACTCCTCGGCCCAAGCCAAGGCCTACGCCCTCCGTGCTCCCGTGCCTCAAGCAAGTGTCGCATCGGCACTCGCCTCGGCGCCCTTTCAGCGCAACCGCTTTCCTCCATGCACCTACATCGTCAAGTATGGCAACCGCAAGGGACTAGTGTGTGGTGGCACTAACCACCCCCTCGCCACGTGCTTCAAGAAGAAAGACGACGAATGGTATGCCATCCATGGAGTCGACAAGAAGCCGCCGAATTAGATGCGTCCTCGTAAGGCCAACGTAGTTGAGGCACATGACCCCGCTCAGGCTAGTGCTAGTGATAGTGCTCCTGCTGATGTACACATCAACTTGTTGTTCCCTGGCACTGCCATGATTAATGAAGCAACTTCGCAGTACATCGGCTCATCACAAGCACCACAATACATAGAATTCACACTTGACAGCGGGGCCACTCACACTGTGCTCAAGGAGACATTCTCCTTCAAACCCTACTCTACACCCATTCCTCTCCTGGGAGCTGATTCAAGCTTCACCACTCTTGCCAAGGGTTCGTCCACTGTCCCGTGCCCCGTCTTCCCATCCGGCACTGTCATTGGCATGTGCGTGCCTTCACTACGCCACAATCTATTGGCTCAACAAGAACTTCAGAGGGCCGGGCTCCGCAACAGAATCTCAGAGTACGAGGACTATTGTGACGTCATCAACCCACTCACCAACAAAGTCTTAGCCCGCTTCACCCTCAACAGCAGCGGCCTCTACACGATGCGTGTACCTATCCCACAGGTGTCAACCACCCAAGCACAGGCTGCTATCACACCATGCTCGTGTCGCAGTTTCTCTAACCTGACCATTCTCTACCACCATCGGCTCGGGCACCCAAACTTCCGCACGCTTGCTGACATGGCCTCCAAGAAGCTTCTTCTCGGCCTGCCAGCCTCACTTCCTCCACCACCTGACTCGCCCGCTCCCACGTGCCTTGACTGTACCAAGAACAAGCTACGCCAACAGCCCCACCCAGCCTCACCCTAAGTAGCAGCAGGCCCACTGGACCTAGTACACATGGACGTCTGGGGCCCTGCCCCGGTTGCCGCACGAGGTGGCCATCGCTATTTACTTCTGATAGTTGATGACCACACTCGCTACGTCTCTGTGCACCTCCTCCACACTAAGGCTGAGGCCCCGGAGGCAATCATGGCATGGGTTAACCAGGCACATACCTCCTTAGGCACCAAGGTCAAGCGTCTCCATTCGGATGGTGGTGGTGAATTTTGCAACGACAAGCTCAAAGCCTTCTGCTCCTCCCATGGCATCCTGCAAAACTACGCCATCTTAGCCTATTGAAATACTGTTTCAATTGAAAACCCTATATCTAAATTAAAACTTCTGCGAATTGCGTGCGATTAGGTTAGGGCTTAGCGGAAGGCATGAAAGGGTGGAGATGGTCGTTGAAGGAGGAACTGAAGGAGGAACCCTTATGGGTTGCTGGAGCTGCAGCCAATCATGTGCGAGCGCAAATCCGTTTGTGGATGAGTCCTTTTTTGAGGCGCCTAAAAAGTGAGTCGCTTTTTGGGGCGTCTAAAAAAAGGTGCCTTATGGGTTGGGTTGGGGGAGCTAGAGTCAATCATGTGCGAGCGCAGATGCATTTGTGGATGAGTCGCTTTTTGAGGCGCCTAAAGAAAGGGGGTTGGGGGAGCTGGAGTCAATCATGTGCGAGCGCGGATGCATTTGTGGATGAGTCGCTTTTTGAGGCGCCTAAAGAAAGGGGGTTGGGGGAGCTGGAGTCAATCATGTGCGAGCGCGGATGCATTTGTGGATGAGTCGCTTTTTGAGGCGCCTAAAGAAAGGGGGTTGGGGGAGCTGGAGTCAATCATGCGCGAGCGCGGATGCATTTGTGGACGAGTCGCGCTTTGAGGCGCCTAAAGAAAGGTGCCTTGTGGAGCTGGAGTCAATCAATCATGCGCGAGCGCGGATGCATTTGTGGATGAGTCGCGCTTTGAGGCGCCTAAAGAAAGGTGCCTTGTGGAGCTGGAGTCAATCATGCGCGAGCGCGGATGCATTTGTGGATGAGTCACGCTTTGAGGCGCCTAAAGAAAGGTGCCTTGTGGAGCTGGAGTCAATCATGCGCGAGCGCGGATGCATTTGTGGATGAGTCGCGCTTTGAGGCGCCTAAAGAAAGGTGCCTTGTGGAGCTGGAGTCAATCATGCGCGAGCGCGGATGCATTTGTGGATGAGTCGCGCTTTGAGGCGCCTAAAGAAAGGTGCCTTGTGGAGCTGGAGTCAATCAATCATGCGCGAGCGCGGATGCATTTGTGGATGAGTCGCGCTTTGAGGCGCCTAAAGAAAGGTGCCTTGTGGAGCTGGAGTCAATCATGCGCGAGCGCGGATGCATTTGTGGATGAGTCGCGCTTTGAGGCGCCTAAAGAAAGGTGCCTTGTGGAGCTGGAGTCAATCATGCGCGAGCGCGGATGCATTTGTGGATGAGTCGCGCTTTGAGGCGCCTAAAGAAAGGTGCCTTGTGGAGCTGGAGTCAATCAATCATGCGCGAGCGCGGATGCATTTGTGGATGAGTCGCGCTTTGAGGCGCCTAAAGAAAGGTGCCTTGTGGAGCTGGAGTCAATCATGCGCGAGCGCGGATGCATTTGTGGATGAGTCGCGCTTTGAGGCGCCTAAAGAAAGGTGCCTTGTGGAGCTGGAGTCAATCATGCGCGAGCGCGGATGCATTTGTGGATGAGTCGCGCTTTGAGGCGCCTAAAGAAAGGTGCCTTGTGGAGCTGGAGTCAATCATGTGGAGCTGGAGTCAATCATGCGCGAGCGCGGATGCATTTGTG